GGAAGAATGGGCTCCACTTGTACTCGCCATCAAATTGGCACTAACTGATGAACACTATGGTGCTCACGCGGTAGTAATATTCTCCAGGGATTAGGGGGATAGGGGGGTAAACTCACAACTAAAGGACATGGGGAGCATTGTAGGGGGAAGGGCATGCCTCTAACCCTCGCTTGGGTGAGGCAAAGACATAAAGTGTAACCAAAATGTTTGTACCCTCATAATACCCTGAAATAAAAAAAAAAATTGTTAGTGTTCCTCTGAAATTCAAACTTGACCAGCATCCTGGATTTTTATTTGCTGAATTCATACGTCATATCCAGAGGGGACAGAACATGGGGAACAAAGGCAAGAGCCAGGAGATCAGGGTGGACACAGGTGACAGCACAGGTCCAGCCCGGTGACGAAGGTGGATCGGACCAGGGAGGAGGCAAAGGACGGGGAGGGGGGGAGATTCCGGGCAGATTTTGTAGGAGGAGCCCCTGTGGCTGGCTGACGGGTTGGACCCGGGCAGATGGCACAGGCCCCTCACCGGGAGAATGGGGGCATTTACCCTGAGCGCCGTGGAGGAGCCCCAAGAGGAGATGCGGGATGTGATTGGGTAAGAGACCCGCAGCGCAGCCCTGGGCTTCATCGACGACCTGTCCCCATGAACTGCCCCGGCACCCCTGGCCTCCACCCTCTGCACCTCCCTGAGTTGCAATAATCACAAATGTCCCCAGACATTATCAAACGTCCCCTGGAGGGCAGCATCACCCCTGGTTGAGAACCGCTGAGTTAGGGGGTTCCACCGACCCCCCAAGAGACTCTGCATCCCACAATTCCCTGCCCTGCTGAGGTCCTAGGAGGCTGCGCTTGTTTAAATCCACACTCTGAGTGGGGAGGGACAGAGGAGGGGAGTCCCAGGAACTGGGGGTCACCCTGGTCTATACCCTCCGCCCCACTAGGAGTTTATTCTGATGCCCATCGTGAGCTATGAGTCTGGCTCAATTTTATTTAATTTTTGCAAATAACGAATGCAGGGCTTGTCCGCCTTGCCTCTGTGCTGACCAGGGCTGGATCCTGAGAAGTCTTCGATGGTGTTTCTTGGGACGGGAGACTTGGCTGCCTAAGCTGCAGCAGGGCTTGGGGACATGGCAGGCAACGTGCCGCCCGCGCCAAGACTCATCATCCGATCGTCACCTGTGCAACACAAAGGGCTTCTGGTAGAGTCTGATAAAGCTTTTAATATTTAGAAGTTTGGACACTTAACTTTGGGGATCCTGGCTCCTGGACTCAGACTCCCTGCTAGCGCCGGGCGACTGGGCCGACTCCACCGAGGCGCTGGTGATGACGATGGGGACATTAGCCTTGATGCTGCTGAGGGACCAGGGCAGGTGCATGGTGACGACCAGCTCGTAGCGCGTGTGCATGATCTCGCCGTCCCGCATGCGCGTGTGCATGATCTCACCGTCCTGCACGCTGTCGTTCACGGACAGCACCGGCGGCAGGGTGAAGGTGCTGACGACCTTGGTAGTGCCGAAGGGGGTGATCTGGGTGTTCGCCTCCTGCCTGAGGAGCTCGCTGCTGTCCGTCCGCGAGCGCCACTCCGCGCTGGGTGTGAAGCCCTCGTACCGCACGCGGGCGTACAGGGCGAAGACGACCGTCTTGATGCGCTTGCTGGTCTGGTTGGTGATCTCCGTCGTGAACACGACTCTCTCTCCCGGCGTGAAGACGTTCTTCTCCATCTGGATTTGCAAGCGGATGGTACCCCTGCTGCAGCAATTGTAGGAGACTTTCTTCTCGACCTCCACACAGAGAGGGACCTAAAAGGAGAGGGGAGAACGGTCAGTCGTGAGGGACTGTGGCCACAAGACCTACTGCCCTGCCTGACACTCCACCTTTAGAGCTCCTCAGTGCGTCCGGGACTTTTGGACGTTCCTACAAAGTACTTGAATGGAAGCTGGATTCTTGGGGATTTTGCAGCCAAAAGCCTGGAGTCATTTCCTGGCTTCCTTTAATCACAGCTATTTACCATTCTGAATATCAATTTCCTTATCTGTAAAATAGGCTTAAGAAAATTCACAAGACCCGAGCGACTTAATTCCCAGCTCCATTATTCACGTGCTGTGTGACCTTGAGCAAGTAGCTTGACGTCTCTGAGCCTTGTTTTCCTTCTACACAGGGACCGTCTTATAGTCTAATGCAAGACCCAGGGCTTATCCAAATATTTCAGACTTAAAGAGACAACATTGAGGCATGATTATCAGCTACTCATCTGCGGCAGTACAAATAAAGTCCCACATATGATATATTTGATGTGTAGCTTGCATCACATTTTATCTTATTTTCTTATTTGTGGATGACATTTTAAAAGATCTGACATGATATTGGGTTGGCTTCAGATGCTTGGCTCCTGACTTCTGCTACCTTGCCCCTTAGCATGTGCCAAAAGTGCAAGCATCCTGAATTTTGTAGTTGTGACTTCCTTGCACCTATACATATTTATTCTGTTACTACATCTACGTAGGTGCCTAAACAAGACATACTGTTTCAGAAAAAGAAAAGTGTGTAATTCTAGGTGCAGGCTCAATGAGTAAAATAGATTAAAAAAAAAAAGAAAAAAAAGTGTGTAATGAATAATATATCAACCCCAACTGCGTCTACTAACCAGACGTCTAGTACATTCTGTGTGCCCAGACCTGTTGCTACCCATTCCTGCCCTGCAGAGACAGCCATCATATGAATTTGACATTTGTCATACCCCTGAGAATCTTTATATTATTTAGGAATACTTCTATTTGTGGTAGAAGCATATAGCATCGTTTTGCATATTGGAATACTTCAAATACATAAATGGTGTCCAGCTGCATATGTTCTTGTCCAACATTATGTGTTTGAAATTCTTTCATGCTGGTGCCTGTCAATTTGGTTCATTTGTTTGTACAATGGCAATTAAGTGTGTTGCAACATAATTGCCCTATCCCGTCCCCCCAGGAGGGATACTTATATTGTGTCCATGTGTCTGATATCATAAAAGTGCTAAAAGGAGCCTCCTGAAGACCTGTTTCTCATCCTTGCACACAAGAGTTGCTGTAGGGCAGGGGTTGGTGGGCTTTTTCCGAAAAGTGCCTGTTAGAAAATAATTTAGACTTTGCAGGTCACATACAGTAATTTTTTTCATGTATTCTTATTTCTTTTAAGCAACGACTCGTGGTTAAAACTTAGATTTTACTATTGTGGCATAGAACACAAATCTCTATGTCCATCTATGTCTGGATCTATGAAAAATAAATGTTTCCTGAAATAATACTTATCCTTACTACATACCTGCTGATATTTCCTATTGTATTTATTCCATTTATCTACAAAATGTGGGTTGCAACCCTCTGAATTTATTTTTCTGCTGTTTTCTATTCTATTCCATTATTTTGTCTTTAAACAGTTGGTTGCAGCCCACCTCATTAACTTTTTCTGATAATTTCTGTTGCATCCTATTTATTCAATACCATTCTACTCTGTCCTACTCGTTGGGTGCAATCCACTGAATTTATATTTTCTGACATACTCTATTCTGTGCTTTCATTTTTAAAAAGTTGGTTGCAACACACCAGATTAATGTTTTTCTGATATTTGTATTCTACTTATTTTATTATCTGTTTTGCTCTTTTATTTATTAAAATAATGGTTGCAAGCCACCACATTGATTTTTTTTCTTAACTTGCCTATTTCTATTCTTCCTTAGTCTTTCGTTTTATAAAAATAGGCTTGTAATTAGCGACATTGAGTTTTGCAATCGACTGACAAGTTGTGACCTGCAGTTTGGAAAACACTGCTCCAGGCAAGTGGGGAGGGGGGATCTTTCCCCTTGGAGACCTCAGGCCGACCCCTGACCCCTTCTGACCTCACCTCCCACCCTCTGCCTCTGGCCCCTGCCTCCCTTCAGCACCCCCTCTTTTCCAGAAGGCTAATTGCAGGTGGTTTCTCTCTAGTCTTATTCGAAAATTCGAGGCATGCGTTAGG